TCCAATCAGCACACCAGGGCATGAACAAGCCTCACACGAAGCGATACGGCGCCCTCGACATCTCAAGTTCTTCACGAGCGCACTATCGAGTTGTTTGCATCTCATTTCTTCGTGTTATTCCTACCCTTTCCCCTCTCCTTCTCATCTTCACCAGTCCCTTCTTGCTCCAAATCTCTCTGCAGGTCCTCTTTCATCCCTCTCAGTCTCAACAAATCGGAATGCTCCTCGAGCGACGTCAAAATGTGTCCCAGACCAAAAGAAGAATCTCCGGACATGACGCGGTCTAAAGGCAAGGAGAGCGAGATTCGATGATCCGTTATTCGATCCTGGACGCGCCGGTGGAAGCGCAAGTTGTCAGCAATGACGTTCGAAAGCCGAGCGCCCTGCTGCGCGATTGCTCGAGGCGACCACAGCAGGTCACACTACCGCATCCTCTTCTCACTTCGTGCCCAGATTGGCCGTGCTTACCTGCTGATAATTGTACGTTCTAATCCTATCTACGCGATGCATGCTTCCAACCTGGCTTCGCCTCGCCGATCGTTTACTCTCCTCTTCAGCTTGAATCTTTCGATCCAGTAATCGAGCTCTGAGGATCTGCCAAGCTTTTGCGCGATTCTGAGCGGACCGGGCAAGCGCGATTGCGTGGATCAGGAATGTACGAGCACTGCACTCTGTCAAGCTTCTCGATGTCCTCTTTGCGCAGACTCACTTGGTGCTGCGAACGAGAATCTTGCATCGATACACTGATTCCTGTCGGCTCGTGCGTCAATCTGACTGCCGATTCTGTCTTGTTGACGTGCTGCAAAGCACCGTGACAGGCGTGATAGAGCGCATCAATGCTGAATCCAGACGCAAATAATCGACACCTGATCGCTCGCTTGCCGTACTCACCTGTCCTCCAGCGCCCCGACTGCGCATCACTTCCTCCTTCACATCCGCAACATCCACAATATCCTTGACTTCCGACGCATGTTCCGGTATCTGAGGAAGAACAATAACCGCAGCAGTGCTGGTTTGAATCTTCCCCAAGTTCTGAGTCTTTGGGATTCTCTGTACGCGATGTACGCCGGCTTCGTTTTTGAGGTGCCTGTACGCATCTTTGCCCTCTACTCGAAGTGTCACTTCTTTGTACGCTTCAAAGCCGAAGGAGTCTGCCTCCACCACTCGGAGAAGCTCGACTTTCCAACCCGAGCCTGTCGAAGAAGTGTATGCACTGGCATACGTCCTGTACATGCGCAACAAATCTCCTGTGAACAGCGTCGCTTCTGCACCTCCTACACCAGGCCGTATTTCCATGATGGCACCCTCCGTCTGGGAGCCTTCGGGTGGAAGTATGAGACCGTAAAGCCGGTTCAAGGCAGACTTTTGAGCAGCATCAATCGCTTGCTCTTCCTCCGCTACCAATTCCGCCATACTATCGTCTGCCTGCATCCCTTGAAGAGCTACACGTTGCTGCGAGGGGCCCAGCTCATAGTCAGCATATTCACCCAACCTGAGGTAGTACGTTATAAGGACTGACATTCTCAGCATCTTGCCATTCTTGCCATACTGCTCTGATCTCTTCCACATTGCCAACTCCTAGATCATTTCTCCTCTCGGCGAGTTTGGCCTCCACTGCAGCTATCGCTGCCGCTGACGCCGCCTCATCTCCTTCCACACCATCCGTCCTTGGTGAAGTGGTCCCGGACTGAGCGACCAAAAGTTGAGGCACTATGAAGCGCAGAGCGGAGTGAACTTCCTCCTCTATCTCTGGGGAGAGCTGTGCTTGCGAGCCACTTTCGGATCGTGTGGTAGTAGCTGAAGTAAAGGGGCGATTGACTGCACGCCTTTCCGCGGTCGATCCCGAAATATGAGGCAAGAGCTGCACTCGAGAAGTCGAAGCAGACGGATGCTGACTTGTGATGGTGCGAATGGCGTTGGTCGGAAGTCGACAACCGCTCGCAGCGCCAGCGCAAGCGCAAGCACATTCGCATGCGCTGATGCGCACTCGAGGCCTGGCTTGAACGAGACTTCGAATCATCTTGTCCAGTCTTAAGAGCCTCCTGCAAGCAGCATAGCTAGAGCTCCGTTCATCAATCGTCTTGTCAGCTACTGGAGCAGCTCGACGATGAGTCGTGAGCGTGACCTTTCCTCTTCCTTGGCTCGACACTTTGCTCTGGTCTGCTTTCTACAACTGGTAAATCACGAGCAGGTATAAGTGCAGTTGCACTTGTGGCTGCTATCGTACGGGATCTTTTGAGTCGGAGTGTTGCTCGCCCGCGGCTGCCTCACGCGCGACGCGTTCTTCTGACCAATTCACGAGCGTGAAGGTGAACAAGTGACTCATCAGCAGAGTTGTGAGTTGTGAGTCACAGTCAAGAGTGTCGTCGACGTGAAGTTGCCATCCTTCGTAGTTCCTTGCCACCACATTACCGCCCCATTCTGAACACTTGACGAATTTGTGCACTTCTTGTCAGTCTTGCGAACTCGCCCTTGCTCGACTCCTGCGATCTCTGCTTGAAGGTCTGAGACTCGTGACTTTCGCGGGCGTGCAACAGATCCCCGCGCGCAGACGGAGGTGATTTAAACGCCGATCGAAGTCGCTCCCAGATCCTGCGACGAAGGCCTGGGTATCTGGATATGCCAACGCATTAAGCGAGTTCCAGCTCTTTCACCTCGCGCGCGAACCAACGCTCTGTCGCCTTCAGCGTGCCCACACCCATCGGCAAGCATGGCGCATACAAAGGGTAAGAGGGGCGACAGACCCGTCTCTCGAGAGGGAACGACATCCGCTCGACCATCTCGATCTCCCAGCACAAAGCGCTCCATCTCTATGACCAGATCTCCGGATGTCGATAATGCTTCTTCGCTGTCCGAAGCCGAGTCGTCGGATTCCGAACCTGCTAGACCCTCCATAGGTCAGACGCTAGCAGATCAGTTCAGGGCTCGAGCTTTGGCACAGTCGACCAAGGAAGGCGATAGCGACGATGACCTCAACTTGCCGCCCGCGCTTGACATCGCAGGTATTGCGGACGATGAAGATCTGCCGGATCTCGACTTGGAAACGTTGACGGGTGCTAGGCCGAAAAGATCCACGGCAAAGACGGACGCGTACAAGATGCGCGCTCCGAAATTCGCTCCTTCTCAAAGACGCCAGGATGCTGCAAAGGCAAAGGAATCAGCGGCTGTGAAAGCTGGAATTACTTCTCCAGTGAAAGCATCTACGGACAAGGAGCTGGCCAGGTTGTTTGCACAACGCAAGAAGATGAAGCAGATGGGCACGGACTTGGCGGGAATGGAAGAGGCGGACCGCTTCATGCTCACCTTTACGCAGCAGATGGCATCGAGAGGACAGACGGGTAGGGGTGACGAGGATGACGATGGACAGCATCTAGATGAGCAGAGCGACGCTAGCTCTTCGGGCAACGTCGCTTTTGGTGGTAGGGCAGCTCAGACAAACGTAGCTTACGACTCGCGAAAGCACATCGCCCTTTCTGACTCGGAAGCGGAGAGTCCCGCGAACGAGGTCAAGAGGGTCGACAATGCCATTAGATCACGAGGGAAAAGGAAGAAGCGAAAAGCAGAGCACGACTCCGAAAGCCCGGAGGCAAACGAGGCGGAAGATGTTCTTGCCATACTTCACAAGGACAGGTCACCTGGAAAGATGCGTGGCGCGCATCGTAAGCTCGGGTTCAAACGCAAGCAGATGTTCTGGACTTCTGTACCAGTAGTGAGCTGTCGGTCGTCTTTTCTGATTCCAAAGGCGCCTTGGCTGATCAAGCCAGACATCACAACTCTTGACCTGCCCCAGCCGTTCGATATTCCACGTTTGCCTCCCGCGGACAATTCCAATCCGCTGACCGAAGCTCTAGCAGATGCTTTGTCGGATGCGAGTGGTACGTGTTCTTGGTATCCAGGATGGCGGAAACATAGCTCAACAAGCTCACATTTCGGCATGGTCGTAGGGCAAGAAACGCTGGCGCCTTTGCTGCGCTCTGAGCTGTTCGCATCTTTCCTGGCACTGGAGGAAAGGGCATCGAAGAGGATGCTGGACGAAGAGAAACTGCGCTCGAGCAGTCCGCTGTCATCCATTACCTCCGAAAGCAACGCGCCGCTGCTCGCCGAGTGGCTGACCAAATTGGTTCTCCAAGTCGACTCGCCTGCGCTCTCTGCCTCTGCTGTCGTGGGCTTGCGCAAGTTACTACTCGGTCTCAAGTTGGCCGAGACAGCTATTCCTGCAGCGAGCGCAATCCTGAATGATGCTCTCGTTGCAATCTTGACCGTCCTGCCGGCTGCGCTGGCCGATCTTGGGGCATCACACCAGGTGCTGGCGGCGATGTATGACTGTGATGTTTCAGACGTCGCCACAGAAGCACCATTGTCTCAACAAGTGCCACAACAGCTTGCGGTCGGGCGAGCCCCGCACAGAAGATCTAGCGCATGGTCCACAGCTCGAGAGGACGCTTTGGAGCGTCTGCTCAATGTGTTGGGCGTCATTGCGGAGTAAGTGGATCGATATATGCGTCCGGCCATGGAGGCGCCTCGTGACTCACTGATTGGATTTTGCAACCTACTCAACAGCCTGATCGCTACACTGACGCTTGATTCACAAGCCATCTTAGCTTGTAACAACACAGCAGTGCTACTGCTATTCCTCTTCCATTTGGACGCTGCGAATGGGCATCCCTCGCGCACTTATTGCACAACACAGCACGCTGAGCTCATTGCCAAGTTTCAAGGCGTGCAAAAGCCTGCGCGCCCCGAGGCTTTGCTTGATCACTCGTGGAAACGCTCAGCTCGTCTGCTTGCAGCGATCGATGCCATCCAATGCGACGAGGCGGCGACTGTGAGAATCATCTTAGCTATGCCTTCATTGGATCTGCAAGGCGCCGTTGCGCGGAGTCGCACCGCGTACATTCGGCTATTGAGATGCTCGCAAGCTGACAGTGTGAGCACATCTTGTATCGTGGATCCATCGCACCGCCGATCGACTTATTCTGACACTTTAATTTGCAGAACCAGATGAAGAAAGCCTTGCCTTTAGAATCGCTGGCGAACCGCTTGAATTCAAGTGATGATAATCCTCTCCACGTCCGACGAAGGCCGACGAATACGTCTCCTTGTCCGGACGACTTGGATTACGAAGAGCTCGGATGTCGAGTCAGGTTGCTCAGCATCATTCTCTCGGACCTGCCTCTGCAGCTTTGTGATCATGTCGAAAATGGTACGGCAGACGAAGCCAGCTCTTTCTCCACTCTTACCAATTCGACCATTGACTCGAACGTGCGGGCCAATGGCAGTGGAACATCCTCACAGAGGTCCGTAGAGAGCCTGATTGGTGCAACGCAATTTCCTATCTTTAGAGACGCCAACAAGTCCAAGAGACGTATCTGGTCTGCTGCTATGGACGAAGCAGTGGCCTTGGCTAACAAAGAGCTGCAATCGATCACGCGGGATCGCGAGATTGCGCGAAGCGAGCAAGTCAATGTGCCAATGTCCGCATCTGCTCCTCCTCCAACGTCGACGTCGAACTCTGCATCTTATCATACGGCAGCGAGCGGACACTCCAGCACGATTCTCCCGGCCACTCTTCGCTTTGAGCCCTCTACGGCGCGCCACAAACAGCTCAGCATGATTGCGGATCACATCAAGGATGCCGGCGGGCGCATATCGGACGGTCGGGGTGGACACCTTGCCAGGAGCAGGGTGAAAGATGATATGCAGAGACTATCGTTGTCGATCAAGTACAGATTGACTGCTCTTGCACCTGCTGCTGAGCAAAGTGTTGCATACGACTAGTGCATGGTGCGAGACTCGAGCGAAATGGACAGAAAAGACATGATCGTGTACGACGAAGCGCTGCTTCGGAATGCTTGAATGGGCCAGCACACACTCTTTGCTGCCCGCCCCTCTCCACTTTTCTCCTTTTCCTGCGCATTTGTAAAGCCCGACGATCGCAAAGTCATCGTCTAGAACAAGCATGGGTGAACGAGTCACCCGAGTGTAATATTCCATCAAGCGCGGGGGCAATTTGCAGGGTGAAGCACGCTTCACGCGTCACGAGACTTGCGGATCTGATTCGTGATTCGTCATGAGCAAGTCAAGGAGTCTCTTACAAGAAGGGGAGAACATTCGTCACAGGAGCGACGCGGGCTGGGGACCCGGTGCAGTCGGATCATTACAGATTTACGAAACGCAAGCAAGCCGAGGACATGTAAGCGGAGTGTGTGTGGGGGGCATTGGGAGAGATGTAGCGATGTCAGAATGGGGAGTCTGTCGCCGCAACCGCAAGGCGAGAGGCGCGGATGCAAGAATCCAAACGAGTAGGGCGAAGCGACGTCTCTCAGTCCTCGTCGTACTCCGAAACGCCTTCTTCCGCCTCGCTATCCGAAATGGTGTACTTGACGGGAGCTTTTCTAGCTCTAGCATTGGTGTTGCGAGCGGGTGCAGGTGGAGTCTTGGTCAAGACGACCGACTCTTCCTCGTCCGAACTAAAGATCTTTTTAGAATTTGTCGCCGGAGCCTTTTTCGCGCTCGTCGAAGCTGTGCGCGATTTAGCGCTAGAAGTTGTTTTGGACTTCGAAGCCTTCGTAGGGATCACGTCCGCTTCCAAACTGTCGTCGACGTCGGACGGAGCAGCAGCAGTTTTGAAAGCGCTAGGAACATTGCCGCTTCCAATCTTTGCTTTCTTGATCCCATTGCTGGCAGATGCAGAAGCTTTCGTCAGAGCGTTCAGATCATCATCGTCCAGGGTACTGGTAGCCCTCTTGACGGCAGCAGCAGCAGCACCGCTAGCAGATTTTGCAGGTCCTCCGGATCCAGACGCGATTCTTTTCTTGGGCGCAGCCACTTTGGGCTTGTAATCGTCCTCCGAATCATCAGCGCTGCGATCCTCGTCTTTGAAGACTTTACGAGCAGCAGCGCCTCCACCTTTTATCCTTTTGCCTCCGGCGCCTTTCCCCCTTTTCGATCCCACATCCTTCAACCTCCTCTCATCCTCGTCCAACAATGATTGCCACTCTTCCGAAAACTTGCTCAGATCCTCATCCCAGAGATTCTCTGGCGACCGGCCTAGCAAAGTTGCCAGTTCCTTTTCCTTCTCTTCGCGCTGAGCCAAAAGGCGCTCCACTTTTTCCCTGGTCAAAGTGTAGATGGCCATACCGAGCAAGTAATCATAGTCTGATTCTGCGCCCGTATTCTCCATCTCGTCTTCCGGCGTGCCGTCGTCCACTTCGGCCGCGACTGCGCCCTTGGCATTCTTTGGAAAAGGTCTGAAATCGTGCCTTCTCAAATCGGACACAATGTCGTTCCTCTTGCGATTCGACACCTTCAATTCTCCCTTGATGATCATCTGCACGAACCTCGCCTGATTCGATAGCCTCTCAAACGCGTTCTTGAGCTCCTCGACCAGATATTCTTTGCGCTTGTGGTAGTACTGGAGCCTGAGCAGATAAAAGTCTTCTAGAATCTCTTCTGGCGTAGCGTACTTTTTGATCTTGCCATATTGATCAAAGAGGACCATGTTCGACGTGGCGATGAGCGTGTGCATCTTGAAGTAAGTTTCCGCGCTCTCTTGATCCTTGACTTCTTGTTGTCCGCGCGTATTGAGCTCAATGACAAAGTGCACAGTCGTGTCCGTATGGTATTCCTTGTACTCTTTGATCGTAGCCGGGCTCTTTTCCGTGCCCACCACTCTTTCTTCGAGCCACTCCTTGTAGCTCGATGTCCAAGTGCGAATGGGCAACTCTTTGATCTCCCACGTCTTTCCATCATCGTGTGGCTCGATGATACCGGAGCATTTGAAACGGTCAGGTCCCACTTGGTGGATGGGTCCGATGAAACCTCTGTACCAAGGCAGCATGGGCACATATTCTTCACCGGCCATCCTTCGGCGAAGGTTGGCGACTATGTCCTTGGGATTGTAATTAGGCAACGAAGAGCTCCATCCCGTTCCGATGCCTTCGCCGCCATTGATGAGCACAAGAGGTACGGCAGGCATGTACCACTCCGGCTCGATGCTCTGTCCATCATCATTGAGGTAATTGAGGAGATTGTCGTCGGCCGGATGGAAGATCTGTCTCGTGATGCTAGGCAAGCTAGTGAAAATATAACGAGCCGAGGCCGCATCTTTGCCTCCCATCAATCTCGTACCGAATTGACCGTTGGGCGACAAGAGGTTGATGTTGTTGCTACCGCAGAAGTCTTGGGCTAGACCAACAATGGTCATGTACATGCTCTGCTCTCCGTGATGGTAAGCAGAGTGCTCAGAAACATAACCACCCAGCTGCGCTACCTTGATCTCTCCCTTGAGCTTGCGCTTGAAGCACCCAAACATGACTTTCCGTTGACCTGGCTTCAGTCCGTCCACCAAAGAAGGAATGGATCTGACATTGTCTGCCATGGAGAACAAGATGAGCTCCTTGTTGACAAAGTCCGCTAAGGGTACGCTGTTGATGTTGTGGTCCAGATAAGTTCCAGGTCTGAACTGCCTCAGCCACTCTTTACGATCATCTGCCTTCTTTTTGTTGAACGCGAGGTCAATGAGCGCCCGGTCGCTATCCTGCATGGCATCGAAGGGTAGCATGTGCTTGTCCATCGCTCTGAAGTACTTCTTGGCATCCTGGGCCGAACTGGTACCCAGACCCTTGTAGTACTTGATGACCCATCCCTTGCCGTCCGCATTCTCCTCTTTCCATCTCTCGTACTCTGGAATGGTGAAGAAGGATTTCTCCTGCTTCCCCTTTGTGCACTTGACGATGGGCGTGATGAACTCGATGAGGAATCCAGCTTGCTTCAACAACGAGGGATAAAAGTGGTCCAAAAAGTTGATGATGAGACCCTTGATGTGCGAACCGTCGTGGTCTTGATCCGTCATGATCATCAGCTTTCCATATCGTAGCGAGTCGACGCTATTGTAGACCTTGTTGTGTTGCAGGCCCAAAATCGTCTTGATGTGACTGATCTCGGTATTCTTCATGATCATGTCGTGGCTCGCGTCGCGCACATTGAGCAGCTTACCACGCAATGGGAATACTCCGTAGTTGTCGCGGCCCACTTCACTTAGACCGGACACGGCAAGCGCCTTGGCGGAATCTCCTTCAGTGAGAATGAGGGTGCAGTCACGCGCCTTTCGTCCACCGGCATTGTTGGCATCCTCGAGCTTGAGGATACCCGTGATTCTAGGGTTTAGGAGAAATTGAGCATCAGTGAGAGCGCTCAAGTCTCTGGTCGGTTCGGTCGACGCACCGTGATCGCTTCGCGCCATCGGTCTTCTTCAGCTGCTTTTCTTGCTGGAACTTGGCAAACGAAAGGACGTTCTCCGCTACGCCAGCTTTCATGACTTTGCAGAATCCGTCGCATCGCAAACCACGCGAATCAGCGTCGTTCTACACACAGCTCGCTGCAAATCTCAGCGAACGGCGCACTCACTCTTCTTGACCAACTCATCCGAGACGGTGTACTTTGATCCAAAAGCGCTAGGTTTCAGCGTCAAAGTCTCCTTGGTCTGTCCGTCAAAGGTAGGATTGACGATTTCGCAATTGACAAAGATCCAAAGTTGCTGTCGAACCTGCTGGCTCTTTACCGGTCCATTCTTCTTGTTCTTCTTGAGTGCGTCCATGATCTTGGATTCCACCTGAGACGCTACCATGTCCACGTGTCTGCCGCCCTTGATCGTCGCAATGTGATTGACGAAGGAGCACTGGATGACAGACAAGGGCGCACGGCCCATCAGATCGGTTCGTTGCATGTGCATTGTGAAAGCTTCAACCGCCTACTCACGTGCCTGAATTGACCGTCCGACACTGCAAAAGCGACTTCCCAAAGCCTACCCTTGTCCTCTTGCTGATCGTAGATGATCGTCTGCTTGGCCGGAGCATTTGCAATTTCGTCTCCATTCTCGTCCACTTTGGGCTCTCCACTAAGCTCGTTGATAGCCTTGACGTACATCTCGACGTACTGTTTGAATGACTTGACCTTGAGTCTTTCCCCATTCAGAAACACTTTGCAATCCTTGACCGTTCCCGCCATGTCGTACACGCGCTTTCTCAGCAAGCTCTCCGTATCCGCATCGATGCCCGACATTTTGAACCTCTCAAAGTCGGGCTTGAAAGTGATGCTGGTGTATTCCTGCTTGCCTCCGCTATTTTTGGTAATCTTCGGCTTGCCCGCCTTGCTCATATTGTCCGTAAACACCTGCTTGTACTTGAGCTCCCTCTCCTTGTCCGCAGTCTCCACGACGAACTCTTTGGAGTAGATGTTGGCAAGCTTTGCACCGTATCCATTACGACCTCCCGTCACCTTGTCCTCATTGTCGTCGTAATTGGAGGAGGTCAAGAGCTCGCCAAAGATGAGCTGAGGAATGTACACTCCTTCCTTGTCGTGCACTTCGATGGGGATACCGTGACCATTGTTCCACACTGTGATCGACCCCTCTTCTCGGTCGATCGTCACTTTGATCGTGTCCATGGTAGGGTCGCGAACCTGGGAGTTGGAGAGGGACATACTCAGTCAAGGCAAGCTCGTCAGGCGTTGCTAGTCATGCGACCTACCCCACACTGACCTTGTTGTCGGCGGCATTGACGAGGATCTCATCAAAGATCTTGTAGAAGCCAGGAACGTATGCGATCTTCCTGCTCGCGTTACACGCAGCGTCAGCGCGTGCACCTTCGATGCGCATACAAGCCTAGGCGGAGCGTAGCTCACCTGTAAGCCATGCCCTCGGTAGTTCCATCGTACACCCATAGATCATCCTCATGTTTCTCGACGCTACCAATGTACGTGTCGGGCCTTTTGAGGACGTGTTCCAATTGCGACAGCTGTGCGGCGGTAAGGGCGCGCGAAGCGTCAAGTCATGCGCCTTTGCCTCTTGGACGGATGCACCATGTGGAAGCAGGACACACAGCGCATCTCACCTTTTGGTACTGCTCCGAGGCGCTCTTCCCAGTGCCGGCAGCAGCGACTTGTCTAGGTCTCTCAAAGATGCTCTCATCTCCCTCGGGATCGAAATCCTCACCTTGACCCTCGTTCGAATTTCTCTTTTTCAAGGGCGCCGCTTTCTTTGTCGCCGTCGCAGTGCTCGTCTTTTTCGTCCCGCCTGCTGCGCCTGCTGCGACTTTGGCCTTTGGAGCAGATACCGACGCAGAGGTGGAAGATTTGTTCTTGGCGGCCGGTTTGGTCTTGCTCATCCCGTTTGACTTGCCAGACTTGCTCGGAATGACGAAAGAATCTTCGTCTGCCGACATCATGTACACATCCTCCGAGTCTGACATGCTTGCAAAGCTTCGCGAGATCGATGAGGGCGAGAGGTGATGCTGGAGATGTTGAGTGGACAAATGACTGTGAGCTGGTTCAAGCAGTCTTGTTCGTGGGTATATTGTGGATTGCCGCTGGCTGCAACGAGACAGCACGCACGGGCGGGCAGGCAGAGGGGAGGCAAAGGTGCTCAAAGCTCGATGGTCTTGCACGCGTAGAGAGGTTTTGAGAGCTGTGTCTAGTAAGTCAGCTTTGGTTCGGAGGAGCAGGGATGCTCGTGTAGGGATGGATGTCGAGTGGTATCGAGGAGCGAGAAGGAGAGACAGGTTCATGCAGAGCTGGGCCGCGCTCTGACAGTCCAACTTCGGGCTTGAGTGATGCGTGGATGCATGGATGAGCGCTTCGCCCAGTCGCGGTCTTGTCAACTTATTGTTGTGCGACTATAAGTCGATCTTGGTGTTCCTCAAGCGCAAGCTGGAAGCTTGAACAAAATAGAAGTATAGTGAGTGAGTGAGTGAGTAGTAGTGATTGTCATTCCGGCGTACCCAACGCTGCTGCCTGCTGCCTGCTGCCTGCTGCCATGCACGCCCTCGCGCGTACAAGATGGGCGCGTGCGTGTGTTGATTCAGATTGAGCCTCATCAATCAATCACTTCCTGCACGCATATGCAGGCGCGTCTGGCGCGTCATGAGGCGCGATTAGGCATCACGTGCGAGTTTCCACTGGCGGAGTTCCGCGGAGTTCCACAATGGTGTACAGTAGGCGGAACAAGCTTTTGCCATGATGCCTGCCGCCTGATGCAGATTAGGGACTTGTGCTGCACGCGATTCTGATTCAACGCGCTTTAATTTGTCTGCTGTGTACCGGTACCTATAGCTGCGCGCGTCAAAGCAAGCCTCTTCAGCTTTTAACAGACGGTTTATTGACTCAAGGCTCAAGGGTCACGCTGTAAAAACAGGTTCGTGCTTGCCGCTCTGCAGCCAGAGGAGGGCCCGAGCACGTGTTCAGCACGCTAAAGACGAACTGCAAAGCTCCATCGAGACTCCCCTGTGAGCGAGGGGCGAACGCTTTGGTCTCCAAACCCCACCATCCCAAGCAGCCTTGCACGGTGTCACGATTCGCTTCGAGACTCATCAGTCTGTTTAGGGGACGGATGGAATGCTGTGAAGCGGTCCGGTCCCTTTCCTCGTTGCGGCTTCACGCACGTTTCGCTTCACAGTCGCACTGTTGCGCAATCCAAGGACTCCTTTCCACCCCACACTCACATTATTCACTTCCTCTACCTGGTCCTGCTATCTTTTCAACTAAATCATCGATCGGCCATGCCTGCCTTCTCGCAGCTCATGCCCCTCTCAGCGTCCCAAATCGCACGCGAGAACATGTCGTTGCCAGCCTCGACGTCCTACACGATAGCGACGCTGATCAGCTCCACATTGACGCTGATTCTAGCGACGAAATGGACTTTGGACGCTGCTTGCGTGATTGCCAGGAGGGCAAAAGTGCACGAGACGATCGTTGCGCTTCTTTTGAGCGGCATTGCGTGGGAGCAGGTGAGTGCAAGGTCGATATCAGTGCCGGCAGCATAGCATACACCCTGCTCATCCACCACTGTCACGCACGCGCCATGATCGCCAGCTGGTGATCATCATCTTCTCCCTCCTTCAACACAGACCTGATCTCATCCTCGGCATTTCTGTGGGCACGTGTCTACTCAACAACACCCTGCTCTTCGGTGTACATCTTGTCCTTCTTCCTCGTCGCTCTCTGCGCTCCTTCAGCACCTCATCGATCAATTACACTCTTCTGCAAAGCATCTTTTGCATTCCCATCGCCATCCTTCTCGGGGTCACGTTCGACGTTTATCCTCCCTTGTTCAAATCGCGATGGTCGAGGTACATGAAGAGAGCGGCGCACATCAACGGAGTTCTACTTGTCGTCGTCTTTGTGGCATACCTAGCTTTCGCAGCGCTGGCCCTGTACAAAGGACATTTGCAACATCCCGAAGATCCAGATTCAGACGACGATGCTTCTTCCGCGTCTTCCTCTGACGCAGATGCAGAGTCCGGCGAAGTGGAAGAGACGCGCTCTGCTCACTCTGAAAGATCTGCAGCTTCCTTTGTACCTGCTGGACTTTTAGCGCAAGCTTCGGGCGCTCACACTACAATCACCACTCCGCTCCTTTCTCGTCTTCGAAATCAACCTCGATCCACCTCATCCTTTCACTTCTTTGTTCTCATCGCCAGCTTGGCACTGATCATTTCAGGCGGAATGCTTATCCCTCACTCGGCCATTCATCTCGCCTGCAACATCCACCTGCGTCTACCCCTCTTGGCGCTCACATTGCTCCCGGCGCTCGTCAGTCTTCCGAGTAGGATATGGAACCTGGTCAATGCGCAACAACCAAACCTGGACGGACTATTGGTCGAGATTTCCAGCAAAAACATCTTTTTGCTCACTTTCGGAGTGGGTCTTTCACTGTTAGCAGGAGTGACGCACGACGTTTCACCTTCCCACTCCTCCAGCTTCTCCTCGGATCCTGCTACTCTCCTGCTAGACCTGTCGGTATCCAACGATCAGTATGCAGACTTGTCGAACAACCTCGCGCCCATCTCGGGGCCTCTCGAAGCGCAAGACCTGCTCCTGCTCTCCCTGTCCTCTTTGGCCCTCTTGCTCTTTGCTAGCCTCTCTTCCCTCGCCCTGCTCATCCTGGCAGGAACAAAGACTCACAGAATCGTAGGACTTGCATTCGCGCTGACTTGGATCATGTGGACAGCGGCTCAATGGACCGTTTGGAGGTGACATTTCCCCCCCCCCCCCAGA